TTATGTATATGTGTTGATATGTTGTTGCCTTGGTGTTGTTATGTGATTTGAAGTATATGTGTACATGAATAAATGTCGTTTTTCATTTGTTTTTTCGGTTTGATGTCGAAACTGAAGGACATGGGTATATTTCGTGGAAACCCTGGAGTTGTGAGTACTATGGTGTGTCCTTGGCATGTTAGTGAAAGCCTTGTGTCAATTGGATGATTAGACTATGAGTTATGAATCTTGAAATCATACATGCTGCTGGATTTTGCAAAAATCATGATAAATCAAGTTCTGGTTATTTTGATGTGAATTTTGATATGTTGGACCTATGTTGATGTAGTTTATGGTGTAAAAATTTCAAGTTAAAATTCGACATGTAGCAATGTGTTTTGATGATTTGAAGTACTGGTCAGATTCTTGCAAATTTCATGTAAAATCGAGTTTAAGGAGTTTTGAGTTGCATTTTTTGGAATGATGTTATTTTGCCTTCATGCTCATTGTGTCAAAATTTCACTTGAAAATTCAAAGGTTTACCTGGTGAACAAAGAATTTCACTCTATGGCTGTAATTTTGCAAAAATTATTTCTCCATGTTAAAATGAGTTTTAAGGGTCAATCTCTGGTGTACTTGTGTACTTTTGAGTGTATAATGTTGTGTACAAATTTCGTTGAAAATGCTCGAGTACATTTTAAAAAGATCCAGTAGATGTTTCTAGGCTGTTCTCCAGCACCCTGCTAGCACCAGGCCCAGGCCAGCATCCCCGGCAGCCCGACAGCTTTCAACCGAGCCTTGTTTTGGCTATTTTTCGACTTGTTTAACTTCCTATTGACCCGTCACTAGGTTTTACATGCTGTATGTGTTCTATAAGACTTGTAATTGGTTTATCGAGTCTAGACAGTTAAGACAAAAGGTCCCAAACTCCACTAGGAATTCCACGAATCACTTAGTCGATAATGTTTCGGCTAAGTGAATGTTGTTGAATGTGTTTCTATGTGTCGGATAGTTGTTTATAGGAATATCTTGATGAATGTAGGTTCGATGAGCTGAGCCCTCGACCTAAGTTCCTGCATTATGTGATTTGCTTCTTCAGAAACTAAGTGGATTATATTATAAGAATTTCTATGCCGTAAATTATCTACGTCTTGTTGGGTTGGTATGATCAATGTATGCATGAAAACCATGTAGCCTATCGATGTGAGTTGTTACGGCCGTCGGTACGGTTATCCACGTCGATGTAATACGGTGCCCTTGTGAGGCAGTCTCCTTAAGTCCTAATGATAGGTTTGTGTCCTTGTGAGGCATGAAAGTCCTAATGAAAGGTCGTACCCTTGTGAGGCATGTACTCCCGCCGTTAGGGTAATGAATCCCCTTTCTGCCGCTAATGAAAGATGTGTACACAAGAGTAATGTTAATGGTGTGTGAATAGGAGATGTGACAGGATTGATTGATTTATGTTCATGTTGCGACCATACCCTTCTTACATTATATATATTGTTTATGTGCATAGCGGTGAGCAAAGTGGTATGTGCTCACCCCCATGTCCCCCCTTTCAAGTTGAGTAGGTGGCGAGCATGATGAGGAGAGGACGAGTGGTTGGTCATATGTATATGTTATCTTGCTTCCGCATATAGTTCTATGAACATGTTGGTATGAATTTTATGAAATTGTTTATGTTGGTTTTTCAGACATGTTAAAATGCTTTCAAACTTGTGTTTTGAAAACGTTGGAATTTCTGGATTGTTTTGAAACCCTATGGTTTGGGTTCGTTTCTTATTAAAACATGTCGATTTGGATATTCATGATGGATGTGGTTACTTAAATATCATGTGATTTATTATTTCTGGGATAATGAAATCCATGTGAAAAACCGGGTAATGATTTCCCGTGGGATCAGACATGACTTGATCTATGTTTTAAAATGATGAGTAATGCCCATGTTAAATGTTGATTTCAAAAAATGAATTTCGAAAATGTTATCTTGATTTTTGAAAAATCCAGAATTTTTTAAAATAAAAGTGAGGCGTTACAGATATGATTATAAAAAAGTATCAAATATAAACAATACATCTTTTTTTTTTCGAAACGATAGGTTTTATAACTCAAAACAATTTGTACATGAGGGGGGACTGAATAGTCCAATAACAGAGGGACAACAAGTGCCCTAGAACCAAAATAACAAAACAACAGATAAGTTCATAATCCCCGACTAATACAAAGCTTAGAGCTCGGGGTTATGTTCATATCTGCACAAAAGAGCACAAAAGACATAGATCACTGGCAGAGCCCTAATCTAGTCAACTACAGTAAGAAATAAAACAGAAACTACCCTACCAACTAGAAAAGAAAAGGCAACAGAACACACAAAACTAACAACCAAAAGACACCTTGCTAAACTCCAACCAGTCTTCTAATGCAATGCTAATAACTGCCTTTTCTGGTCTCCTAATCCCTTGAAACACCCACAAATTTCTCGCTTTCCAAATCCACCATAATAGATAAGTTGTGAGCTGGATTCTGTCTTCATTTACAGTTGATTGAGGAATGGCACACAAAGCAGTCCACCAGTGAGAGAATTTATCAGTAAGGTGCTCCAAACCATCCCATTTGAGGGGTGCAAGCTTCCAGATCCTCACAGCTTGAGGGCAAGTAAAAAACAGATGGCGCATTGTCTCTGCTGCATCCCCACAGATTTTGCATCTGGTCTCCAAAGGCACTCCTTTTTTTGCAAGGTTGACATTAACTGGCAGAATGTTGTTTAAACACTTCCAGATGAACTGTTTAATTTTTCCTTTGATTTTCAGTTTCCACAATCTCTTCCTCATCCTTCTGATATCTGCATGCCCCTTACTAGACTCAGCAATATCTAGAAGCTTCCATTTTTCTCTCACCAGGTAATCATAAGAAGCTGCAACAGAATGTTTCCCATTTTTGCCACAATGCCAGACTAGCTTGTCATCCTCTTCTGGATTGAGATTGTTGATCTTCAGAATAGCAGCCTGCTCCTTCTCAGTGAAAAGCTCTTGTAAGATTTGTCTCTTCCAATTTCTTCCTGTAACATCAATAAGCTCACTGACCCAGCTTAACTCCATGTTGATTGGGGGTTTGCTCTGTGGTTTGAAGCCAGGTAGCCCAGGGATCCATGGGTGCTCAAAGATTTTGATTCTGGTCCCCTTTTTGACATCATATCTCAAACCTAGCTGAAATGAGTCCCTAACTTTAAGCCAGCTGTGCCATAGCCAAGAGCCATTTTGCTTCTGTTTGACTGAAAAGAAATTATCATTGGGGAAATATTTAGCCTTCAGACATTTGTTAACCAGTAGATTAGGTTGGGTCATGATTCTCCACAGTTGTTTTGTGATCAGAGCTTTGTTCATCAGTTGGATATCATGAAACCCAATTCCTCCTTGATCCTTAGGCAAAGTCATTAGGTTCCAGGCTTTCCAATGGATCACTTTTCCCTCTGAGTTCCTTGTGTTCCACCAAAAGGTAGCAAATAGAGTAGCAATCTTTGCACAAATAGTTTTGGGAATGAGAAAACAAGACATGGAGTAAACTGGTAAAGCATTCAAAACAGCTTTCAATGAGAACAATACATCTTTTGAAATACATATTTTGGTTCATATTTATCGTAAACCCCTAAATTTTTTTGCACAAAATACAAGTACAATTTATTTAAAAGATTTAGAATTCTCTTTTTATATGATACTAAAATTATAAATTTCAGAGATAACAACTAAAAAATCTCAATTGACATGGTAATCGATCCAACACTAAAAATATACTAAAAATAAGAAGAAGGTTACCATTTCATCATGGAATCATTCCGTGAGAGTATTTAGCCTATGGATATACATAAAAGTTAGTTATTGTAAATAATTAATGGCTAAAAACTCTCACGCAAGGTGATTCCGTGAAAGGATGGTAGCTTTTTCATAAAATATAACTAAGCATCGTTGTCTTTTTTTATTTTTTTTATTTTTTTTTTTTTTTTTTAAGGTTTCAAGAGATAAGCAGGAGTGTGGGGAGGGCAATATAAACTAAAGTTATCTGGTCTTGTTAAAATCTTTGTTAAGATGTGTACACACTTTGTATTATGTGTGATTTTCCAGGTTGTCGCTATAAAGTAATGTGAAATGAAGACAATTTTCCATTAGTGAGTGGTATTCATTTGGTCACCGGTCACTTCATGGTTCCTTAAACTATCTTCCCTTTTCTTCTTCATTATATATATATGAGTGTGCGTCTTCGTACACACACTATGCACAGTTTCCTTTGACAGTGACAAATGATGGGATTCTATTTTTTGGAGTTGCCAAATTTTCTTCATTATGTGTAAAGATATTTTAAGTTTAGGGAAATGATATCATGTAGTTAGTATAAAATATATGATGTTACGATTAAAACACCCGACGAGATGATTCCAAAACCGGACCGGAACATTTCTCTTAAATTTATATGTGATTGTACATGAATATCATAATATGATTGAACTGAAAGATCAGTATGTGGGTCCTACCATTTAGTTTCATAATTTTGTTCATCTTATGCTTCATTCAATGAATCACATATACATCATGTCCATAACTATTATTTAAAAAGCAAATGAGGCCGACATAAGCAAACCCGTATATGCCTTTCCAAATAAAAAAAAAAAATAAATAAAATAAAATAAAATTACCAGTAGATATGAATTTACCATTGAAAAACTTCTTGATAAGAACTCCCGCGTACCTTCTGAAATTGAATACTGCAGATAAGTTGAAGTGGAGTGCCCAACTACAATAATTTTAATTCAACCAGAACCTGGAGTTTTGAAGCCTCTGAACCATAAACTGGTCCAGAACTAATGCTTTATTAGCAAGAAGACTACAGAATATCAAAACAGGTCGTCCCTCACACACCCAAGGTCTTCTTACTACAGCGTAATTCCAACAAGTAACAACTTCCTAAATATATGTACATGCACATCACACACACACACACACAGAGAGAAAAAAAAAGGTGAAAACCCCTCATTCGGCCAGCCAATCGAGCGTGAAAGACTCTCGTGGAACCTGACAAAGCCCCGGACGGCCCTTCTCGACGTCCTTCCAAAGCCAACATACCTCCTCATCACAAACCACACGCCTCAGGCACGGCAAAAGCCCTACGCTAGCTGGCAAACTCCTAATCTGCACACACTCCCTCATATCTATCTTCTCCAGACTCCTGCACCCACCCACCTCCTCCGGCAAACAACTCAAGTTCACGCACTGAGACACATCCAAATACTTGAGCCAAACGAGGCTCCCCACTCCTGAAGGGAGCCTCTTCAGGTTCGGACACGCGGACAGCCTCAATATTTGCAATGAAACAAGTTTTCCCAAATCCAACAGCAATTCTTGCAGACTATCGCAATTCGTGACGCTCAAACTCCTGAGTGTCTTCATCTGACACACACTTGACGGGACTTCAATTAGGTTTATGCAATGGTCTAGTGTGAGTTCGGAAAGACGGGGGAAAAGGAGATGCAGGTCGGGGCCTGCACGGTTGACGCTTTTGCTGATGTCGCATAGGATAAGGGAGACTTTTGTTAGGTTCTCCAAGGGTGTGGTGGTGTCGGGTAGCAGAGGGAGTGATATTTTTTCAAACCAGATGCTCCTCAGATTAGTTAGGCTGCTGAAAACAGGGGTGTTGTGGAGGGTGGCATTGGAGGAGCTGTAGTTGATGAGGATTAGGGCACGAAGTTTGGGCATATTATGGAGGAAAGGAGGAAGGGTGTATTCGGGTGACGAGAAGTTCAGGACGAGGACTTCCGCTTTTGGGCAGTTCATCTGTGGCCAATCTTTTTCAGTCATTTCGCCTGTGTTAATAGCCAAATGTGAAGGAAATGTTGTTAGAACACTCGCGTATGTTCTTATTGCAGTTGAGCAGAATAACAATTATTTGGATCTCAGCTTGAATCGATCATTGCAAACTTGTCTAAGATTCTTCATTTGACATATGATATATTTTTTTTTTTTAATATAAAAATGAAATTAAGCTTAGACAGTCAAATTTGATCAAACTTATTCAGGAGCTCCAAAGAATTGTGTTTGGGTTTGAACAAATTTTGATAGCATTATGTTAGAGAAAACAAAATTATTATTTTCGAACCTTCATTCTTTGTAATTTTCATATTTTTTTGGTGTCAAGGTAAGTTGAAAGTTGATTAGTATTATACCCGTATGTAGCGAGATGACTCGAGCATTAAACGGCTCATCTACATTCCTCTCCCATTCTTTCGGGAGCCCTCCTTCTCTCCTTGGCATAAGCAATCTCCTTCGTAGGATTACACTACCAGCACTGCTCAGATGCATGGCGAGATCTCGCAACACATCATGCTGATAAACTGAAATCTCATAGTAACTGCTGTACTTATCTCCAGCTCTGTCCAAAATATTCACAATTATAAGTAAACACAGGTAATAATAATAATGATGATGATGATGATGATGATGATACTAATAATAATAATAATAATAATAATAATAATAATAATAATAATAATAATAATAATAATAATAATAATAATAATAACCTGAGTTGGAAAATATAAGGCAGCATTATTTAATTTTACCTACCTTGGATCTTTCACTAAAGTAATGAGATTCTTGTCCGAAAGCTGAACCAAGATGGCAAAGGCGTCATCTTCCTCTATATCATGCAGCTCGACCCACATATTGATAAGTATGTCCAGTGGGATTCGTTTATCTTCTGGGAAAGCACCCAGATCCAAGAAGCATTCTCTTTCCGTCTCAGAGAGATAGTCGATGCTCAATTTCATGCGTTCGAGTAACTGAACTTCATGGGACTCACTAACAAGTTGTCCTCGAGACAAACGATTTCTGGCGCTTGTCCAAAACATCTCTGGCTGGCCCTTTAGAGATGCTCCAATCACTTTTAAGGCCAATGGAAGTCTTTTGCATTCGTCCACTACCTGTTGAAATTTTAGAAATCATCAGAAAAAAAATAAAAAAAAAATGCCAAGAAATATGAACAGAATGTTTAATACAAAGAACAAGCGACTCTATCAACTTTTGAGTTTTATTTATTTTGTGTAATCTTATTTTTCAACAGTTGACTTTGAAAACCTTTCTGCCTCTATCTTAAGCATAATTCTTTTTTTTTTTTTTTTT